CGGATTAGATTTTCAATTACAATGAGTGTTTCTTTCTTACTTTTAAAATTTATTTTGTTGTTGTTGAGGCAAAATTCTTATTACTTTAATTAATCATCTTCAATGGCTTCTAGTGACTCCACAACACTGAGAAACCACCAGCCCCAACGGACTTGTAAGGTCTTCATCACCTTACAGCAGAAGGAAATAATTGACTGTGTCCTATGCTCCCTATGTACTACTGAGTACAGATACCAAATGATTAAATTGCTTTTCTGCATATTTCCCTACTCTGTATACCAATGAATACACATGCCAATGTGACTATGCATGCATGAGTGTTCCTCAGCGCATTGTCTTCACGGTGCATCAGTGTTAGACATCACACTCCATGTGGGTTCATGGCTAAATATTAAGCCATGTGCATCTTCCTTGTCCACGTCATCACCGTCCTTGTCCTCGTCATCACTGTCCTTGTCCATGTCATCACTGTCCTTGTCCACGTCATCACCGTCCTTGTCCACGTGCATCACCATCCTTGTCCACGTCATCACCGTCCTTGTCCACCTCATCACCGTCCTTGTCCACGTCATCACCGTCCTTGTCCATGTCATCACTGTCCTTGTCCACGTCATCACCATCCTTGTCCACGTCATCACCGTCCTTGTCCACGTCATCACCATCCTTGTCCACGTGCATCACCATCCTTGTCCACGTCATCACCGTCCTTGTCCACCTCATCACCGTCCTTGTCCACGTCATCACCGTCCTTGTCCACGTCATCACCGTCCTTGTCCACTTGCATCACCATCCTTGTCCTCGTAATCACCGTCCTTGTCCACCTCATCACCGTCCTTGTCCACGTGCATCACCATCCTTGTCCACATGATCACTGTCCTTGTCCACGTCATCACCGTCCTTGTCCACGTCATCACCGTCCTTGTCCACTTGCATCACCATCCTTGTCCTCGTAATCACCGTCCTTGTCCACCTCATCACCGTCCTTGTCCACGTCATCACCATCCTTGTCCACGTGATCACTGTCCTTGTCCACGTCATCACCGTCCTTGTCCACGTCATCACCGTCCTTGTCCACGACATCACCATCCTTGTCCACGTCATCACCATCCTTGTCCACGTGATCACTGTCCTTGTCCAGGTCATCACCATCCTTGTCCACGTCATCACCGTCCTTGTCCACGTCATCACCGTCCTTGTCCACGTCATCACCGTCCTTGTCCACGTCATCACCGTCCTTGTCCACGTCATCACCATCCTTGTCCACGTGATCACTGTCCTTGTCCACATCATCACCATCCTTGTCCACGTCATCACCGTCCTTGTCCACGTCATCACCATCCTTGTCCACGTGATCACTGTCCTTGTCCACATCATCACCATCCTTGTCCACGTCATCACCATCCTTGTCCACGTCATCACTGTCCTTGTCCACGTCATCACCGTCCTTGTCCACGTCATCACCGTCCTTGTCCACGTCATCACCGTCCTTGTCCACGTCATCACCGTCCTTGTCCACGTCATCACCATCCTTGTCCACGTGATCACTGTCCTTGTCCACATCATCACCATCCTTGTCCACGTCATCACCGTCCTTGTCCATGTGCATCACCGTCCTTGTCCAAGTGTTGCTGATGAATCTCTTGATGAACTTCTAGTTTGTTTCCAGCACTGCTGATTATGAATGTTTTGTTTGTGAGTTCTTTGCATACATTTTTAGCTTTGGGAACTATATACCCAGGGGTAAGATTGTTAGTTCAAAGGATGAAGAGAAGGCCCAGTTGCTGTTACAGAAGACTCAGGTGTGATTTCTAACACCCACAATGTTGTTCACAGGAATCTATCAACCCAGTTCCAGGGGATTTGTTATCCTCTTGTTACCTCTAAAGGCACCAGGCACAATATCTTGCACCGACATACACACCAGTAAAATATTCATATACATAAAATTAATAAAATAATTCCTAATGACATGCTGGTACATACACAGGACAGTGCCGCACCCAAGCTTCATTAGAAGGACTTTTTCCAGTAGACTCGAATGAATAGACTGCCATAACTAGACAACATTCAGAGAGTGCGGCAGGCCCTAAATGAGACATTTTTATCATACTCCACTCTTCAAGGAGTAAGGGTCTACCCGGAAGAGGAAATGGACATGGAAAGACTTCAAGAGACAGGTGATGAATGACTCCCAGGAAACAGAACCTTCCAGACACAAAAGGGCTGATACAGACTGTGACAGCACACATAGAGTCTGCACAAGTTCAAACCAGACAAAATTCCAGCAGAGAGGGGAAAGTAGACATAAAAACCCACCTGTAACTAATAAAAATACTTTAAAAAAGAACGTATATGGTAATACTAAGTTAATTTTCTGACGAAGCATGGAGTTAGTTTATAAGTTAACACGACAGCACTAATGGTATTCTTAGGCAAGTCCTCAGGACAGAGAGTGGGAATGGTTGTCTACACGAAGAACCAAGCCCTCAAGCAGTTGCCCTTCTAGCATGGGACCAGGGTATACCTGACCATTTCTCAACTAAGAGAGCCCAGAAGACAGGCTGATATCCAGCCCCTTTCTTCGCCAATGAATTTGCTGACTCAGAAATAGCAATAATAATGAGAATGAGGTCATCAATTTGAGAAGGAGCTGGGAGGGGTTGGAAGGAAGAACAGGAAGGGGAAATGGTAATTTTGTTTTAATTAAATTAAATTAGGTAAACATGTGATTTTGGTACAATTCCTTCTCTCCTTAGAAACACTTCTTATTTTTATGAAATTATTTTTCCATGAAATAGTTTATCTACTAGAAATAACCTCCCTTTTGTCTAGGAACAGAAGAGCCACACATCTTTGTAAAGTGAAGAGATGAGATTCTGGCGATTTTATCAATATTATTTCAGAAGCTTAAAGAGGGTTGAATAGTATCCAAACCTTAAGTGGGAATTGTATAATTTGTTTAGGTTCTTTTCAGTGGAGGGTTCAAGAAATGAGGTGGATTTTCTTGCTTGTCAGCTAATGAACAAACTTGGAACACCCAAAGGAATTGTCTGAATAACTGTTATTCATATTTAGATGTTTAAATTGTTTTCCAGCTTCGCAAACTGTCAATGGGCCTTTCAGAATGTGTTCTTACACCCTGTAGATGTGAAGGCCTTTCATGTCGTGATGAGCCTCTCCTGCTTAACTTAAAGCCACTTGGGGGTGGGGGGAGCGTTCGTGGTGCTGGATATACACAAATATTAGAATACAATAAAAAGTGCAATCTGTGATCATGACTATACCAAGCTAAGTTTATTATATTTCTATACACCTTCTTTCTGGAATGACAGAAGAAACTTACTATTCTTTCCAAAGAGAATTTTGAATATTTCCAATATCTTTCCATTATTATGGCATTTGTTTTGTAAGAATATTTACTTCTCGTTTAGGTTCACAAGTAATATACCTTTATTAAGGTAATTGTAATTTCCCCTCATTCATTTTTCAAAGCTTCCTGTGTTGTGAAACCATCACGGACCTAACCAGTAATAAAGTCAATATCCAGGTTAATAACCAATTAGAGGTGATACCAAAGACAGGAAGAATGAATGTTGGGTGCAGGTCAGGATTCTCTGTAGTTCTGAACACCACATACAGGGATCCTTGCAGAGGCTGCAGCTCAAGTCTCTTGTCAATCCTCACATTTTATTGTTTCAGAGATCGTCTGATTTATGTTAGAATATACAAGTGCATTTATATCAACTTCTCTTTTTAAAATAGCAAAACTGACGTTGGAAGGCAGACTGCAATTTGTTCAGTTTCCCTGCTGTTCTGTTCAAGCACTATCATTGTAAACCTCGAGGTCTGAACATAATACTATGGTCTTCATTGAGGGAAGGGGAGTGGTGAGCAAGGGGAACATAACCCTGCCAGCATCTTTTGGCTGGAGAAGAAATAAAAATAACCAGAATGTGGAGGTTCAGCATCTGCCTTACTTTTTTGGGACCACATGTCACAGACTCTTCCATTAAAACCGCAACTTGTCCAAGCTGGGCTTCAGTGAACCTGTTTTTAACCCAGTTAGGTTAGGATGGAAGAAGGTGACCCAGGGGGAGAGAGATGTGGAGGTGCCGCCAGGGTAAGTATTTTACATTCTACTGCATTAGATTGCATTTACTACGGGAACTGTAAACTCGCAGCCACAGCGATGCATCTTTGAACATCTGAGCTACTATACACTGAAAACACCATGAAATAAAAATAATCTCTTCACACTTCCCAACTGGCTGTTTATCAACTTTTTCCTTTCCCACATTTGTGCATGAAGTGTCCCTTCACAGCCAGAAATCCTGTGGTGTTTTTGGCTCTGATTTGGACAGTAACTTGCTTATTTTCAAAGTTAGCAGCAGAAAGCAAAGAAAAATGTCGTCTATTAGTGTGTTACATTATGTAAAGAAAACAAGATTGCTACACACAGCCATGCACTCTCCTTTCCAACCTCTCCGTTAAACCTTTTCATTTCAAATCTAACCATCCCGCTGAGCCGTCCCCATATATTCGAAGTTGAAAAAAGGTCAAGACTGGGATGTTCTTCAAGTGACTGACCATTTATTTGAAGTTTCCAAGGACCAAACCTCCAAAGAGACTCATACACATAACTGCAACACAAAATCACTTTAAAAGTGCAGCAAACAGCAAATGTCCAATCCTGACAGCTCTCTTCCAGTAAACCCTGGAAGGACAGGATTCAACCCTTTCGATGGCTTGTGTGCAGCCAACACATTTATAATAATTCTGAGTATAAACAATGCTGTGGGTTTTGTTTCAGGCAAGCCTGAAGCTAGATATGTTCTGTATGTTGTTTCGAAAGCAAAACTCAATCCTAGGGTTAAGGTCAATAATTCCAAACCATGTTTTATTTTGCTCAGAATAATTAAAATATGCCATCCTAGAATTAAAAGTAACATTTATTTGTTCATGGAAGAGGTAACAAAGTATAATTATACTATATGCTTGCATTCTGATGAACCATATATATATGTATGTGCACTTCCACGTGTCTTTGTAGATACATGAGGACTAGTTTAGGAAATGCGCTAGTAACTGGCAACAGTGTATTTTTTGCTCGGAGCAGATTTGGGTTTGGATTGGGGTGATGATCAACTGAGAGTAGTTATTTTTAATGTTTGCCATTTAATGTGAATGCATAAATGTGGCATGTGAGAAACTGAAAATTAGAATAACTTGAAAACCAATTTACCTTTTCTGGCCCCTTGCCCTTACAGCATGTTGAAGCTATTCTGGATGACCTGGTATTTTTCCTCTCAAAGATTTTATTGATGGAGGGAGGACTTTATCCCTAGTCACTCTAGTGTTCCCCCGTGTGTTCCCCCCTTTATCTCTAAGCTAAATAAAGAAAGCATAAATATTTCTAAGAGTTTCCTTAGCTCTGCTTTCTTTGTGAAAGATGAGTAGAAATGAAGAATGCTGGGGAGCACTGGGAAGCAAAAGGATGCAGCTGAAGGTGTCCAGGACGTAACAGCAGCATTCGCGACTGTTTGACCACCAGCATCCCTCATAACATAATTCATTTACAGAATCAAGTATCAGAGCAAAAGTGTGAACAACGCTGCCTTTCTGCTGTATGAGGCCTTCGGTGGTAAAAAAAAAACCACAATTCACCTGACGTGGTCTGCAAGTAAGAGCCATAAAAGAGACCAAGAGCTATACTGTGGGGCTTCAGGCTTTGCCTGGACCCCGTAGTAGCAGTCACCTGAAACAGAAACATCAGCAAGACAATACTGTGTTTATGAAGCTGGGATAACCAGCCCCCTGGCTCTGCCTGCAAGGGCTGTCACTAGCTTTTTCTCTACTGGGTTAAATTAGAACTGGCTTGAGTGTCCACGAAGTGTCTTGGTAAGAAGTACAGTGTTGCATACCAGAGAGTTGAGCAGTTTCCTAGACGGCCCAGGAACTGCAGGGATTCTGCAGACTCTGAGGAAGCTCTTCCCCAGCCCTCCCAACAAGCTCCTATGCACCAACTTCAGCCCTTGCTACTGCTAGCTTGCTTCTCATTTGATGGGGTTCTCTGCTGTTGGGCTCTGGCCTTGTCTACCAGCCCAGGCAGCAGTGGCCTTTACAGTTTTTCAAAGGATGCCCCCAGGCTGTCAGAGGCAGGGTTGGCTCCTTTAGTGCCAGGTCTTTCAAATGATGTCCACAACTTTCCTCAAAGCCTCGTTGGTGGAGCCCACAGTTGTTTCAGTGTCCGCTTAGTGACAATCCCACTGTTACCTCTTCACCCCTCCTTCCCTTCAGTCAGCTCCACTTCTGAGATCGGAGCTTGCTGTCTGACATAGGATTTGCATCGACCTTTAGGGATCTTTTGTTGGTTACATTCGTCTGCTTCCCTTCTTTCGGTTTTCTCTCTGGATTCCTTTCATGTTAAGGATACTCACAGTCCGTGTTTTCTTGACTGCTTTATCTTTTGTCCAGGCTCTCTGGCTACGGCCACACCTTTGCCTAGCATGGTGCGGGGAAATCTATCTAGTCTTCCTATTGCAGCAGCAAACTGTTTAACAAGGCAAGCTTTCTGAATTTCTAGCAATTGATAACTCCAAGAATTGTGTCCTAGGGGAAAAGCAATCACAAAGAAGATTGATTATATAAAGTTTATTATATTGAAAAAGGTTTAAATATACAATCACATTTTGAATCTTGCCATCTGTTCTAGTTTACATATGTAACCATATAGGTAAAGCCCTACTTTATCCAAACCTAATTTATACCTGAGCATCACCGTGTCATACCAGTATGGTCATATCTTCTATAAAAAGACCACTTCTGTCCTCTTTAGAAAAAGTGTGACTATGATTAAAAATAGGCTTCATGTGTACATGAATTTAAATATTTGTAAAACATGTTGAAAAGCTACATGCTATACTGCCAATTTACATACTCTAAAATTTAATATTAATATATTTGTATAACTTTAGAAACACTAAATGTTAACTTCACAATAGTTAAGCAGTGTTAAGGGCATTAACTTTCTCCAAGATGTGTCAACAGAGTTAAGAGGACGTTAGCATCAGCCAAGACTTGATGCTATTGTAACCCCTTTGACTGTAGCTCTGCTTAGCTGGCACTCAGGTTGGATTGCCAAGAAACTTGGGTACCATTCCACTTAACTGTACTGTTTGGTTATTGTTTTTGCCCATTGATAGCAATCTTCTTTAGGGCTAAACCTTAATTTACCCTTCCTTTCCTGCAGTACAAGGTCATCTAAGCTTGAATATGTACACTCATACTGCTATATTTGTGCCACAAACTTCTAAGACCCAAGTCTGTCTTGGAAAAGTTACAAAACCCATGAAACGAGAAATGGTAATTATTAGTTGGCAATGACGCAGATTTTCTTTACAGAACTTTGAATTATGCGTTTTTAGCAGATCTTGGTCATGCAGGCCATCGAGTCTTGCACAGTTGTGGTTTAACCTCAAGCACTTTTGTCACTTTTTTTTATTTCTTATATTTATGAAATCCTGACATTCAGAAGTTCATGGCTTTGAAGAGTTTGTGTGGACTTTCTGCGAGCATTTTATTTTGCTAATGAACTAAAATTGATCTGTGTAATTGAAAGATAATGATACTATTTGAGTGTAATGACTAAGTACCAAGTGAAATGCTTTGCCACGGAAGCTCCCCATAACCCTGTCTATGATGCTTTATCTTAATTATATAATCACATTGTGTAGCGCATCTCAGTCACTTAATTATGAAAGAAAAAATAGAATGTGCAGTGGGAAGGGGCATCACAGAGTTGGTTTGGGGCTGGATTTGCTGCGAAACCCCTGGTCAAGTCGTCTCGGTGTCTCTGGGGCTCAGCTGTTCACCTACGGACGTAGAGCACCAAGGTTATTTAAGGTCTCCTCCAGTGCCTCCAATTGTGAATCTGAATCCCACCAAATTGGTTTTTCATAGTCAGGAAAAAAAGACTGAACAAAGCTGAACTGTGAAATATTTGACAAGCATTAACAGGATTGAACATGTTTTAGACATTCAGTGTTCTGTAGGAGAAAAGAACAGTTAGGAACTCTCCCCACCCCTACCGCACCCCACCCCGGTATGACTTGTGTTTGTTTAAACTTGAAACAGTGAGCAATTGTACTAAGCTGGTCTTGTGCTTCTTGTGGTACAGATGGATGGAGAACGCACCAACCCAGTCTTACAGGGTAGGTTGCACTTTACCAACTCACTCCTGGAGATGTGGATACATTTAGGTGGACAGATTACACGGGATCTGAGAGAGAGAGAGAGAGAGAGAGAGAGAGAGAGAGAGAGAGAGAGAGAGAGAGAGAGAGAGAGAGAGAGAGAGAGAGAGAAAGAGAGAGAGAGAGAATTGTAAATTTTACTGAAATTGTCCACCTTTTGGGGCATTTGGGAGGAAAAAAGGGCAGCTGAAAAATCAAAACTGCCTGCAATAGCAGAGTACTAGCTTCAGGGACTCCTTCACAGAGGCTTGTTATTAAGCCTGGGAATCTAAGATCATACTACCAATGGCATCTAGAAACCTAGAGTCTTCATTTACAATATGCATATTGTTCTAATTCTTAAAATCAAATTTACTGATCGACTCTCATGCAAAAGTACAATTGTCTGTACAGTTTCATGAGTGGATACAGAATATGAAATTGCATAGAGAACGTTCACATTAATTAATAATGATTCTCCGAGACAAAAATAATCCTTTTTATTTCCTTAGTTTAAGATAAATGTCTTAAAAATATCAGAGAGAAGGTTTTAGAAACAGGTGAAATAGACTTGCTTAATAAACCACAACACACCTCACTTTATTTTTACCCAGGGATAAAAATAGTACATATGCATATATTTTCAAATGAAAAGGTATAAATAAAAATCCAGTTGTAGAATAGATAACTTGAATTAACAGGCTGCTATTTTTCTGACTCTATTCATAGGAGGCTAGCCTATCCATTGATACGAATGCACATTTTGCCAAATAACCTGCTACAATATTTGATACTGCTTAATCACTGTTTAAAGGGACAAAGTCTTCTGTCGCCTCTAAACAAGGCTCATTCTCATAGGACTCCATTCTGAATAAGACACTTGCGTGTTTGCTATGCATCGTTCTTTTTACAGTGACGACTGCAAAAGTAAACTTAGCTCCATGTAGACAGAGAAAACCAAGAATTTCCCTACAATTCAGAAGCATCAGGCAGTAAGGTTTATTTTACCCGAACTGAAGGAGAAGTGAAGGGCAAGTACCCAAAGCCAGGAAAGATGTTTGGATCATGAGTCAAGTGAGAGCCATTGGGGAGGCATACCTGGATGTTGAAGGATTTACATCAGTATCTTTGTAATGTGCACAGGGGCATCCCATATGCACCGGCAGAAATGACAACGTCGGAGGTAGTCCTTCCTGTGACCTGGTTGGCTTATCTACAAGTTAGGACAACAGTCCAAAATCAAATAAAAGGAAAAGCTCACAACTGTCTGCAACCCAGTAGCATTTGTACATGGTTTCAAATGGAAAAGCCAAAGTCTTTTGTAGAAATGATTAACATAGCAAATCACATTTTTTAAATGTACCAACTTACTAAAGAACTCCCCAAATAGTTTTATTTTGTGGGATGTCTTCTTAATGTTCAGAAGAATGCCAGTTTATTCATGGTATGAATTTAGATCAGGCCTACTCTGTGAGATCAAATCTGTGGGGGAAAGTGATATAAGAGAATTTATGAAAGCAATTATATCTATATGGGAACAAGGACAAAAACATCAGGGTTGTCATATATAATTAAATTCATTTCATTGTCAGGCAATTATTTTTTTAAACTTCTTGCAACAGATACATGATATATATATATATATATATATATTATATAAGCAAATACATGTCATTCTTTTCTTCAGTCATTCTCCAAACCAGAAGAAAAATAAAGGAAGAAATCAGGTTTCTAATCCCTCATGGAAGGCAGTGGGGGGATGGGATGCCAGGGATGGGTTGGGGGAGTTTATGGGAGAGGAGGGGAGGGAGAGGGAGCTGGGATTGATATGTGAAGCAAGCTTGTTTCTAATTTAAATAAAAAAGGAGAAAGAAAGAAAGAAAGAAAAGAAAGAAAGGAAAGAAATCAGGTTTTTAACATGTGACTGGAATGCTGAAAAAGTTTGTGAACTCTCCTCTGCAGGTGTCCTGATGAATGAAGTCCATCTTGCATATTCTCCTTCCTTGAGCCAGGGTTTCGGTCACAGGTGATTCAAGGTCATTTACACAGACACTCGGTCTACCCTGTTCTTAAGACATATTTGCTACGATGACGTGCGCAATGATGACTTGAACTTCGATTTGTTAGGTCATCACTTCAGGGACTGGCAACGGTCTCAGAATCCTGCGCTGGTCACGTGTTGGGAGGCATTGGAGGATAAGGCTGATGCCCTTGTTCTGGGCACTTAACCGGGTTGTGTTAGTACAACCACCAGCGTCAGGGAGGACTGTGACTCCTAAAGACGTTCACACAAGTGCCTAGCCTCTTTCGTTTCGTTTTGTCGCTTAGCACCCTCCCAGTCTTTCATGCCATAGGTGTTACCCCAGCCCTTTTGGAGAGTTGATGAGAAGACACCAAAGTAATGTGGTGACTTGGAAACTTGAGATTGCTTTGTTTATATATTAAAAAGCAAGTTATCAGAAAAGCGCTTCCATCTTTCCTATCTTGGTGCCACCAAGAGTAGCATCACCTGGAAACCATCGCATGAACTTATTAGGAAAACGAATTCCTGGGCCCTATCTCAGGTGGGAAGAATCAGGAGGTCCTGAATGTGGTTGCCAGTTACGAGGCCTGGGCAGTTCATAGGGCCTCTGGTGGCGGAACAGTATTTACCTCTAGTGTACGAATTGGGAGCCCATTCCCCACGGAGGGATACACTCAGCCTAGGCCCTGCCCCAAATGATGTGACAGATTTTGATGGTTCCCATAGAAGGCTTCACCTTCCCTGGGGAGTAGAAGAGGGATGGGATGGGGGAGTAGGTGGGGGAGGGATGGGAGTATGGGAGGGAGAGGGAACTGGGATTGATAAGTAAAATAAGATTGTTTTTAATTTAGATTAAAAAAAAACCTAGAGGAAAAAAAATCAGGAAATGGACCCAGAAATCCTTCCACAGACCTCAGGGTGGTTTTGTTGTGGGTTCAAGTTTCAGCAGGACTTCTGAAGAAAAGGAATCTTGCCACTTAGTCATTATGTTCTGGTAAATTTGCTTAACACCACTGAATTTCTGGTTCCTACATCCATAAAATGAGGGATACCCAACAATGAACCTTCCAGCTCTGATGTTCCCAGGGTCTAGGCTTCTAATTACTCAGGAAAGGAGAATTCACTAGGAAACGCCATGCCTAGACATTGGACTGCAGCGATAATCTACTGCTGCTCAGCCACATCCACGAGTTTAATGCACAGTGATCCTTCTCCATCCTCATTAGCTTCAGATCCTCCTTGGGGAAGCTCATATAAAATAAAACGAGCCTGCTAAATAACTCAAGAGCAATTCAGTTGCAAGTAAGTAGAAAATGACCAGGAACTTACTTTTAATTGTTGAAAACGATGCACAGCTTTAACGATACTGTAAAATGGGATTTAAAAGTATACAGCTTTCTTTGGAGGGCTTCCTGTCCACATTTGTCATAAAACAAATGCCTAGAAAGTACATTATTAGGCCGATAAACCCTAACAGTTTGCTACAACTCCCTCTTTGCTTTATGCAATTTATTTAAAGCTTAAAATGTGATAAGTGTATTTTCCATAAGTGTCTGCTAGTGCAGACTTCGTACACAGCATAAATGACTGCATGGTATGTTTCTTATGTTTGGAATTTTGATTATTGTAAAAGTGATTTTCAGGTAGTAATATGATTCTAACTTATTCAAAAGTATGTTACTTGATTTAGCAAGTTAGAGCTTCCAATGCTACATGTATGTATGTATTAGTAGTAGACATCAGTATCAGTGTTTATTTCATAAACCTGGGATGTTACTCTTCTGTAATAAGAAAACTGACCCCTGGGAAATGCAGTTGTTGATACTGTATATTTTTGTTATGCTAACCATAAAGACTAAATTAAGTCTTCATTTCATTATTTTACTAATTGGAGTAGTTTTAAAACTGTGTGTGGGTTATGCTAGCATTTGAGACAGTTGCTTTGAGTAATGACTTGAGTGGTAGATGGTTCCTTCTGTTAAAGAGAAAAAGCCCACCATCCGCATGGTGATCAGGCATGGTCTAGCCTTTCCTCTTGCTCCTGTGCATTATCTTCTTAACTGAGAGGGGGTACAATACAGACTTGGCTGCTTCCTTGAAAGGGCTCTGTAAATATGCTTCTGCTTCCAATATAACAAACTCCTAGTAATTGTAAACTGTCCCACGACTTTGTGGAACAGCAAGAATCTAGTGACCAATAGTATTTTGTTGCTTATTTCCTTATTACATATAAACCAGGAAATTATTTTTAAGAAGAATCTTGTATGTGAAGGTTAGAGATGAAGTGTGGAGACCATTATCAACAGTAGTCATGCTTTGACATTCATAGAAAGTTGTCATATTATCTCTCTTACAGTAAGTGATTCCAAGTCCTTTCCTTTGGGTTTGAGGTGGGTGCTGAAATTCTTTTTATCAAAACCTGTTAAAAATATGAAAAGAAAAACAATAAATGGTCTGGTTTTCTTTTTCAAGCGTCATTGCCATTTGTCCAGAAGGGGGCGCTCTCAGTCCATATGCAGCATATCTCAGAGCTGTCTGAGATATTATCTGAGGCTAGGAAACAGTCTGACAGGAAAATATCAACACAAACCATGCGTTTTGCCACTGGAGCACGCTGGACCTCATCTGCTTAAAAAGATGCACGGATATAGTCATCACAGTTCATAATTTAATAAACTGCTAAAAAAAACCCACACATTTTCATTTTAGCGACTTTGGTCTCACAACTAAATTCACATTGCTACAAAGACATTTGAATTTTGCACTAATATGTCATGAGCACTGCACCCACTGCAAATTAATGAGTCTCTGAATAGCACTGTGCATTTGTCATTTGAATTTATGCTAATGCAATGAGGTCTCCTGGTGATGCTGATAGTCCATAGCAGCCGCTCGAACCAGAGAATACGCCGGCACTCCCCTTCCACTTCTATCGCTGCCTCCTCCTGGCTTTTCTGCCCTGTCACTTAGGCAGCAATCCTGCAGCTGGTTATTGATAGGGCTGCTAATTATCTTTGACTTTACACTATTGGCCTGACCCCCAACACTGAGCAGAAGTAATGGATCAGTGTTGGGAGAATCATGTACATCACACAGTGACGGCCTCGGACCAGAAGGTCAGAACGAGTTCACCGAGACCCAATGGTATTTGCACAGGATGTTGGTATAGAAATTGTCGACAGTTTCCAGAGATACTGCGTAATTTATACCAATAAGTCAACCTAAGAAAGTGCCTGCACCTTTTGCAGACACGATGAACAACATTTGTTTGTATGCGCAAAAAATAGAAGCCCACCCCTCTTGTTTTCTCGTTTCTATCCTGTTTATATTGAAGACAAAGGCCTCAGGGCTTCTAGGTGTCGGGACATCTGAGTCTTCATTATGGCTGTACAAATTTCCCGTTGGGCATGGGTGTGGTGATGCATTTGAACCTAAGGGTAGGATTGCTGGCATTTTGAGCATGTTATATGGAGAAGAATCCATGATAGCAAGTCTTATGGAAGGAACTTTAGTGACAAAAGGCTGCCAGAGCTTTTTTTCCTTTGCCCCAAGACTTAACTGTGAAGTTAATTTTTTTTGTTGTTTAGTACTTGTATTTGCTCTGCTTCTGGTTGCTGCAAGTAAAAATGTGCAGTCTATTCCAGTATTTTCAGAAAAGTCAGATTTTGTGCTTAAAAATAACATGAAAAAATGAATAAAAAATGAAATCCCCAAACAAAAAGTATGTGTCGATTTTACAAATTTTGAGACTCATTCTTGTAGGATATATGGTTCCTCCCCAACAGAGACAAGTATGCAAACTTTTCCTACTATATTGTAACAATTAAAACACACATAAGTTTTGTTTAAAATACAGCATCCATTCCCAGGACATCCCCAAAGCCAAGAGTCAACTCCTGGATTATGTCAAGCAGAAAAGGCACCCTAGGGCTGACGGGTAGACTAGCTCCTTAAATGTCCTAAGCAGCATGGCAGGGAGAAATGAAGTGATCTGATACTCTCACAGAATCCTCGTAATGGAATGGCTCCACTCGGAACAATGAAAACTCACACCACGAAGAAGAGGAAGTTAACCCTAGCACTTCAGCCTTGCAAGCTGCTGAGGGCATGGTCCCCAGGAGAGGCAAGTGTGGCTGTCCCTCTCTCTACCTGTTGGCACCAAGCTCAGGGTTAAAAGGCTGCTCTGGAGAAGGAAGCATGTGTGAGAAGGCAGCTAATAGATTCCTCACTGTAGCTCCTCCGGTTTCCATCAAGGAGGGGAGACGTTTTCACTCTTCTTGGAAAAACTTTGAAATGTAAACTGTTCCGATTGATGGCTCCTTCTGGCCCTGGCAACTCTTTTTGGTAGCTGGTGCTCTTTCTGCAATACTTGTTAAAAACGTCTCTGTAGCAAAGATGTTGTTTTTTATGTGATTTTTTTTTTAAGTCGGCGCATGTGTGAGTACAGACAGG